CCCCAAAACCCCAAAACCCCAAAACCCCAAAACCCCTTAATGCTGGATAATAACTTATGTGACATTTGAATATATTACTGTTGTATTAATCTAGTAATGATGCAATCTAAAATTATATATCAACTGAGTGCAAATGAATTCCCTATCATTAAGTTTAGCCTCCGCAGCAGCCAGATATATTATTGATGTCTTTACTTTTAGGATCTGTGAGACCTGGCTAGGGTTCTAATTTTATGTTTTGATTTTTGTTAGTTTAACGACGCTTGCCTCTTCTTTGGTTTTTCTAGGTGCCTCTCCTAGACTAGTTATCGTCATCCTACTAATCCGTCGATTGGTTGTTAGATAACCCCCCTCCCATAAATCCATAGTCAAATTTACCTGCCATTGTCAAACGATGAATCTCATTAATTAAACCCATAAAAGCTGTCTCTACATTTTAAGCATTCAAAGCACTTGTCTCATAAAATTACATTGCTATAATACTGTTAGAATAATGACTAAAATACAATTGTTCTGCGCAAAATTTTAAGCATCTTCAAACTTGACAGCTCTCATGTGTTTTAAATCAGCTTTATTTCCAATCAACATGACTGCTATATTTGGGTCTGCATGATCTCTCAGTTCCTAATGCCACTTTTAAACATTCTCAAAAGAGTTTTGCTTTGAAATGTCATAGACGATCAAAGCACCTACTGCGTTTCTATAGTATGCATTAGTGATAGCTCTATATCTCTCCTGACCAGCAGTATCCCAAATTTGTGCCTTGACATAGCAGTCCTCTATTTTTATATTAGTAGTGGCAAACTCTACCCCAATCGTCGACTGATAATTCAGCTTGAATTGATTTTTAGTGTATCTTAGCAGCAGATTTGATTTGCCGACCCAGGAATCTCCAATCAGCACTATCTTAAACAAATAGTCATAGTTTTCCCCGTCCTGTGGAGTTTCTTCCATTATATTCCTTTAAGTTTTAATAAATTACAACTATGCCTAATTTATAATTCTTAACTACCCATGTTAAAGCTAAGTTAACTCTCCACTTTTAAGTCAAGATGATGGGGTTTTGGGGTTTTGGGGTTTTGGGG